TCCAAATACCACGTATATCTCTCCAATGATTTCAATACTTTTTCAATTCCCTCTAGTGCATCATTTGCTCCTGAAATATATGGATTCTACCCAACGTTTATACTGGACCATTTGCCAGACGCATTTAAATCTTGATTAAGTGCAGAGGAAACTAAAGAGGAACGCACAAACTACACAGTATAAAATATAGAAATAAATTCTTCCATTTTACTGATTTGTTTTTTGTAAACAAGCCATCAACTTGTAGGGCAACTGATTATTTAAAACTTGAATTTTAAGATAATATGTAGACTTTGTCATAAAACGAGCATGGGAAACTGATCTAGGAGCATAAATATTAAAGCTTACATATGGACATAAGTAGAAGAGTGAAAGCTCTACTAGTTCTTTATAATCACTTCTTAGAAATACTAAATTAGCAAGTGCATACTTGCAGAACTGAACAGTTTTTTCTATCTATTTTTCTAGATACGTTCCTTTAACTGCAGCTTTGTCAAACTTTTTGAACTTTGATTTATCCATAGTTACCTTCGTTGCATTCCAATTAGCTTAGAAAACTTTGAACATCAGATTTTAGCATAAGATTTACCAATGTAAACTTTTTCCAAAAAATATTTACATTGAATCTTGTAAACATGTCTTCGACATACAAGATGTAATATAATTGAACCCTGTATTTGAAAAAACTTAATGATTGTGCCGGAATATTTTCCTGTATTAGTTGCAGCTGTGTTAAAACACAGACCCTTTATATAAGTTCTTAGCTTATATTCATTCAAAATGTTTATCAAAATAACATGGTGAGATTTTCCAGTACCGTTTTTTATTGGCAGAATGCCAAGAAATCTCAAATCACCATCAATGTTTACAGGAACAGCAAAACAATCTCTTTTTTGTTTTGTACCATTAGTAATATCCTGCATGATTTTTTTCATCAAAGTGTGCGATTATTGGAAATTTACTTTGACTTGCAGCTTTTATTATATCTTCTCAATATTTAGCTGCACTTGCACTTATTGCTTTCTTTTTGCACGTCTGATAGTAGATTCAGAAAGAAAGAAATTTGTGAAACTGCCCTCAGAAGTAACTACATTGTCAGAGAGCGAGCGCATCATATTTCTAGGTAAAATGTTTTTAGAAACACCTGTAATTGCAACTTCTTTAGTAAATTTTTTAGGTAATACTGTTAAAACACTAGTACCTGATTTAATTTTGTCTGCTAAATAGTCGGAATCCTGAAAAGAAGAAACCTCAGTTTTTTCTGATTATAAAAACTCAATTTTCTCAGTTTGAGCCTTTTGTTGCTCAATAAATGTTAAATACTGCAATCCTCTTTCTTCTATCTTTTTCAGCTTTTGGCAATATGTTAAATCCTTAGAACCAAGAGTTATTTTACGTTTCATCAATTGATCATTTGAAAATTGCTTATCTGAATTGTATGAATCTAGGTTGTCTCCACAAATTGTAAAAAGAGGGACCTTAAAAATAGGTTTCTAAAATTTTTTTTTAGCGTAAAATCATTTTTATCTAACTGGTCAACTAACCCACCTAATTGAGATTTAGTTTAAAAATATTGTTAAAAAATGACACAGTTTAATATATATATATATATATATATATATATATATATATATATATATATATATATATATATATATATATATATATATATATATATATATATATATATATATATATATATATATATATATATATATATAAATATATATATATATATATATATATATATATATATATATATGCATATGTATATATATATATATATACATATGTATATATATATATATACATATATATATATTTATATATATATATATATATATATATATATATATATATATATATATATATACACATGCACAACAGATAATATATATCTAAGGACACAATTTCTAGATAAATTTTGTGCTTATTAATTCATAAAATATGCACTTTAATTTTTCAAAAAAAAAAATGAAGAAAATAATAATAATCACAATAAATTTTTAATAGTAATTGTTTTTTTTTTTTTTAATAAATAAATAGTGAAAACTTCAGTAAAAAAATTAAAATAACAAATAAATAATAAAAAAGAAATAATAAATAATAATTAAAAAATAAATTATTGACAATGATTCGAGTTATAAAAAATTTTGTATAATATTATTATCATGAGCATTTAAAATGTCTGCGGCCCAATGTCATACTGAAATTGGGCCCAGCACCTAATTTCAGTATGACATAATTAGTGTGTATGGCATTTGCATATGTATTAATGAATTTTCTTTGTAACTTTTAAGTAAAGTTTTAAAAAAATTCTAAAAAAGTTATATAGTGTCACAACAACAAGTAACAAAATAATTATTAAAAAAAAAAGAAAACACTGGCAATTGCAAATATAGCACAAGTAACAATTTGACAAGTAACAATTGATTATAAAAAAATATTAAATAATGGAGACATGGACACAACTAATTATAACAAAATGTTAAATAACTACCTTTATAAATGAAGAAACTAACAGCAAGTAGAGAAAGAAAAAATAAAAATGCTTCAACAACATTCCAAAATTCAACAAAATAACTCCATCCTTTTCTATAAAATATTTTAAATTCACGAACAGCAAAAATTAATGTCATAAGTAGGAAAAATAATTGTGAGCCGATGACACCAAGGGCATGTTCTTTAGTTGATCCATAGACCATAAAGGTATTTACATTAAAACAAGTTAAAACTCCTCCAAAAGGAGGAAACTCAAATGTTATAGTGACCATATTAAAATAATTTGTAGCTGCATTGAATAAGGCAAACTCAAAGATTAAAGCCCGTGATTGGCGATCAACCCATTTTTTTTGCTTTAAATGATCTATAAATATTTGATTTTTTCTTTTTGGAAATATTTCAATAACATAACCTCCACCGTCATAGACTTCCAAAGCAGATGAGAATGAGTACCCATCTAATTCTTCTGAAGTTTGATACCTCCAAGGCAATGATAATGTACTTGAATGAGAATTATTATTTATTGTTGGTCTGGTCCAATCTAAGTCAAAGTTGTTTGTTTCTCTAACAGAATCTTTATAGGCAGACAAACAAGAAAGATTAATATATGCAGTCAAGACTGTGGGTTTAACACAAGAATCTAAATCAAAAAAGACTTTTAGTTTATTAGGATGAGATTCAACTATTTTCATTTTAAAACCTAAATAAAAAAAGAAATAAAGAATATATTAAGCTGAAAATATTTGTTTTCTTGTTAAATATTCAAACAGTGCACAAGAACATTATTTAAGACCTTGCAACACACCTCCAAAAATTTATTTTTTTATATATCAGAAAATTCTTCCTAATTTTTAAAATGTACAAAACAACTCTTTTCACCAGGGGCCTGGGGAGAAATTGCATACTTCAGAAGAGTATCCAGGAATTTTGTTGTTTAAGATGGGTAATTAAGAGACATGTCAAATTTCTAGTATATTAAATAGTGGTTTCAAATAGGATGACTAGCAAAAAGTTGAGGTAATTGAAGCTAACACAACCCTGTCCTGACACCTAATTGCCCCTTTCTTAGATTTACATCTTCTAAGATTGTAATTGTTTTTTTAAGTTCTTTTATAAATTAGATCAAAATTCATCTAAAGATTTAAATTTCATCATAAAATCACTTTTTGTTTAAGATTTGTAACTATATATCCCTTGAAACAACTTTAAATGGTTGTATCTTTTATGCAAAAAAAAAATAATAATAATAACGATAAAATCGGATCCAGTTTAATATAACACTAAAGGATATATAACTGAGGAGTGGGGGGGGGGGATTATTATTTTAAATATTATTTTAATATTTAAAATAATAATTCCAATTATTATTTTAAATATTAAACATTAATTTATTACAATTTATAAATAATAAAATATATTTATATATACAATAATAAAAGTAAATTTATAGAAAATATTATAAATCTAAATACATTTTAAAGGAGGGTGTTAGTATTGTCTGGTTTCAAAATCTTTTCATCACCTTTTTGTACTGAACTTATTTTGTTCTAAGACAAGTGTAAAGTTTTTAAAATTACCAAATTTGTTTTACAATGTTATAATTTTTCTAAAACTAGGTCTAAATAATTTGCTGCTAACTTTCCTACCTTTTTTTGTTGAATTGTTACTACTTCTTGTTACAATAGGCAATATAACCAATCTCTAACCAATCCACCTTGGATGGTAAATTACTAGTACTTAAAAATATTTAATTATGATGTTGTTATTTATATTTCAAAAGATTTTTAAAAATATGAATTAAAAAGCTTATAAGAATTTTTGTTGTTGTTGTTTTACGAGATCAATTTAAGTATAAAATTTTCAGAAGAACATAAAATATGTACATAAAAGTTTTTAATAGCAATCAAAGTTTATAAAAATAATAAAAAATATTTAATTTTTACAATATAAAAAAAAATGTAACTAATTGTTTATGTATTTAGTTACATTTTTTATGTAACTAATTGTTTCAATCATTTCTCAAAAAGAAGACAAAATTTTATTAGATATAAAAGAAATGCAAAAAACACTTATAAAGTGTATTCATATTATGAACTTATGAATGTATACTTGTAAAGTTATGATATTTTCTGCATACAAGTATGTGCAAACAAGTTGTTAACAAAAAGATGTGACGTTGCTTAGGTTAAGATGTGATGGAAAGTCATCTATAGTTGGTATAAAAAGATTTTTTCTCTAATAAATTTCTTCAATGTCATTATCGCATTAAGGAGTATATATTCATCAAAAATTAAGAAAGAAAATGTTGATATTAAATTAGTTGTAAATGGAGGGCACGGGTTTCTTAAAGTTACTTTATTAATTACCCTAAATCAAGATATGGAAAAGAATAAAATACCAAATAAATTGAACAATTGTGAAAGAAATTCATTTAAGGATTTCAAAGATTCAAATATCCACAAAACTATGATACTGGCTATTTTACTTTTATTGAACAAAACCATAAAAAAAAAAACTTGCAGATAAATTTGGATAAATTGAACTCTTTTTCCTTAGATTAAACATCTGAAGATCGTAAACATTTCCTTAAAATGGGTGAAAAAGAAAGGTGTTTTGATGATGCAGTTTGTTTTCCAATCATTTTAAGCAAAACAATAGGAAATAAAACCATTTTATGAACACAAAAAAAAAGTTAGAAAAGAAGAAGATGATTTCCAAAAATCTTTTTAAACTTTTTGGAATCATCTTTATTTTACTTTAACACCAACATACTAGAATTTTGAGTATTCCACATGTCTCTCTGTTATCTATCTTGAATAACATATGTTTGTTATGGAATACCTTTGCTTTTCAAATTTTTTTAAAATCTCTATCATACAATAACAAGTCAAATTTTATAAGTGTGCTACCATTCTCTGAGTGAAATAAGATGATTAAAAGAATTTTTTCCCTAAGCAGAAAAGTTAAAATTGTGATCTAAATAAAGCAAAGGAGAGATCAAATACAAAACATGAATTGTACAAAGTCAAAAAATGTTTTTACTTCTAAAAATAATAGATGCACCTTTATACCATCCTTAATGACCAAGTAATTGACTTATAAAATATACTAATGTGTATACTTTTATAATAAAATTATTATATAATAAAAAAATAAATAAAAACTCATCTAAGTATATTAAGTTAACAAAAAAACACATATGCAAGTCTTTAAATTGTGATATTCCATTGAAAAATATTTTAAAAAAAGCAAACATACAGGGACACACTTTCTCTAGAAATAAGCATCATACCAGGAAAGAGAAATACTACAACAAATGTAATCTGTTCATAAAAATAACAATATAAATACCTTTTGCATCTCTTTTAAAGCAGAATATAGAATACCTAAACGAACTTTTTTTGAAAAGAAAAGTGTTTACAATTATTTTGGAATAACCCAGCATATCAGGCAAGTGCATGTATTTATATCATATATCCAGCTATGAAAAAGTAATTCATGTCTCTTATTGAGTAAAACATAAAACAAAGCATTAAAAATAAAGAAGAGGGTTTAAAAAATCTTTAATAACATGTGGATAACTGTGGGCACAACTTTGAATTTCTGATCATTTTTATTCCCCCACCTTCCATCACCCTCTTTAAACATTATTTAAAAAAATAATTAACTTAGTTTTTATAGTTATAAAATTTTCCAACTACTAATGTTTAAAGATATCAATTATCATAATAATAGTGGTCATGGCTCATAACCATTTAAGAGCTTTTTTTAGAGGTTAATAGTGAGCAATGCAAAAAAAAAAAAAAAATTGAAAATTTGAAATACACAATTTTAAGTAAAAGGCCATCAGTCCAAAGACTATCTAGTAGAAAATCACAAAAAAAATCTGAGTCAGTCTTAAAATAGTACAAATAGTACAAATTGCATTGATGAATCTTATTTAAAAGATTTAGTAAAAATAATTAAACCAATAAACATTGTGAGTGAGGGGAAAAAACTCCACACAAGCTAGATTCAAGGAAAAGACACAGATCAATTAGTGAAGGTAAACAATTTGGGTTGTCTAAAAAAGAAATCACAAAGATCTGGGAAGGAGATGAAAAAAAAGTTAAAAACTTTAGTATCAGCATAGTAAGCGGTACTAGTGATAAGTGATAAATGGTTTTAGACTAACAGTTAACAATACAATATTTATGAATGCTAAGAAATATACTACATATTAATATTTTTAATAATGTATGTATTAATGTAGTGATTTTACACTTGTGCAGTTCCAAAAGTTTTTAATTAAATTAACCAAATTAAACTTTTTATATATGATCATTGTATAAAGTACAGTTTCAAATGTAAAATAATGCCTTCTATATTTACTAGATTTTCATAAAAATATAAAAATTTACCTGGTTTCACCCGAACTTGTCTAATTCGTATTCCATTAATAACCTTAGATGTGAGATCAGGCAAAAATATTTTTCCAGGAAAATCCATGTACTCTGTACCTATGAACTTGTCACTTAAATTGAACCAGGGCTCAGGATGTATTATTGGAAGAAAAAAAAGGTCAATCCATGACCAGAAATCTTTAGAGGATTGAAGCTGAAAAATAAAAATATTTATTTTAACTCTTACCTTACTTAAATACTTACATCATGATCATCATGATCATCATGATCATTATCATCATCATCATCATGATCATCATCATCATGATCATCATGATCATCATCATCATCATCATCGTCATCATCATCATGATCATCATCATCATCATCATTATCATCATGATCATGATCATGATCATGACCATGATGATCATGATCATGATCATCATGATCATGATCATCATGATCATGATCATCATCATCATGATCATCATGATCATCATCATCATGATCATCATCATCATCATCATCATCATCATCATCATCATCATCATCATCATCATCATCATCATCATCATCATGATCATCATCATCATAATCATCATCACCATCATCATAATCATCATCATCACCATCATTATCAACATCATGTTCATCATGATCATCATTATCATCATCATCATTACCATCATTATCATGATCATTATCATCATCATTACCATCATTATCATCATCATCATCATAATTATCATTATGATCATCATAAACATACCCTTTCTAAAACTTGAAAATTTTTATAAACTTTTGTGGTTGTTCTTAGTTTAAGGTTAAAAAGTTCTTCTACATCTCGTGTTTGAAAATATGAACTCTTTTCTTTTGACATGTATCCAAGGTAAAAAACAACCATGGAAAATAAGCAGTAGAGAAGAAGCTCCCACGCAGTTGAATACAACTTCAGCTGCAATAATCGAGCTTCTTTCATAATCTTAATTGAAGACTTTGTTGGTGGTGCTGTAGAAGTGTTTATTTGATTAGAAGTTATTTCTTCGTTTATTTTTGTATGAAGCCAACTCTCATTGTGAGCGAGTGTTTTACCTAATAATGGAGGTTATTACTTCTTTTAGGTTATAACTTTAACAGATAAAAATAAACAAAAATATTATAAATTAAAGTTGAAAAGAATACCTTGTATGTAAAGCACATACTTTTCTTTATAAACTGTTACTTTAGAAGTAAATGCATAAAGTAATGCAAATAAAAAAATTTTAGTTGGTTGAATAAGCACTGTATCATGGATCTAAAAAATAATTAATCAAAAAAAAAAGGTGGACATAGTTTAAATAAAAAATATACAAATTGAACTATTATCCTGAATAAAATTGCTTTTAATAAAAAAAAATTCTGCACAGTAAAAAAATGAAATTAAAATAGAGAAAAAATAATTATTATTAATTAAAATAATGTGTCCAATGGAAGTTATTTATTTAGGCAGTCTTGTCACTGACTTTTAACGTAAACTTTGCTAAAAGGCTAATTAACTATCAAGTTGTATTTGAATAAATAATAAAAAAATGCTCTTATGAAACCAGTCTAAAGTAAGTCATACACTTTGACAATTTTTTGTTCCATTAAAAAAGTGTTGAATTGCTATTTTTAATTGAAACTGCTCAATAGTGGCAGCTGGAACTGCAGATGTAGTAGCAGCAGCAGTTGCAGCAGTTGCAGCAATAGTAGCAACAGCAATAGCAGTAGCAGTTGCAGCAATAGTAGCAGCGGCAGCAGCAGTAGTAGCAGCAGCAGCTGCTACTGCTAATATTAAGGAATTGGGATTATATTTACATAAAAAATGATTTGCAATAAAAAAAATGTTGAATTGATTTTTTTTTTCCTGACAATTTATTTAGATAATAATAGCAATAGTAGCAGCAATAGTAGCAGCAATAGTAGCAGCAATAGTAGCAGCAATAGTAGCAGCAGTAGCAGCAGTAGTACAAGCTTATTGAAATAATTTTGTTTAAATAGATGTTGTAATAGATATAACAGTAGTTTATTTTTATTGCAAATTTTGATGGCTAGTTATAACACTTAAATAAAACTGGAATTCAACAAGTGAAGCCTTTGAATTGTTTTAACATTTTTAAAACTTTTATCTAATATAAAAGTTAAAGCCCAAATATTGATCTTAGTACCATAATCATGAATAAGTTCTCATGCATGAACAGCATAATGTATTCTCGTGTTTAGATTTAGATTTATTTTAGGTTTATCATCTTGTGTAACTAGAGAGTTGGATACAGACTTTGTTAAAATTTACAATTATTATTGAACACTAAAGTGTTCAATAACAATTATAAATTTTTCCTATTTGTCTCTATTTTTTTCTTCTCAAGGTCATATATTTCAAAAAAAAAAAAATCTTGAGTGGTATCATATTAATTGGAAAAAGAGGAAATAATTGAAAAATTAAAGATTTAACTACCAGTTTTTAAAACTTTTGTAGAACGACCATACCAAAAGAACTAAAAAAATTTTCGAATCAAACTTAAGTAAAGGATAAATGTAGGTAAAGTAGAGTTGTTTCCATAAAGAAGCATCACAAGTTTGGAAAGTATGTTTTAGGATGCCTAGCATTTTATTTGCTTTACATGAGTCTATGATGGATTGGGTTTCTACTATAAAATTATTGGTAATTTAAATTCTCAAGTCATGCTCAGAGGTGGTTGCTTCCAGTGTAGTTTGAGTCTTTATTGAACAAGGGCACATTTTCACCATTGAGTACTTGAAAGGAGTTAATTTTTTTAGCCAAAGTGCATGACCTTGCATTTCTTTTCATTTAGCTCCATGAGCTAAGACTTAGTCCAATGAACAATTTAGTCAATATTTGTTTGGAGTTGAAGTTGAGCAGAAAGTGAGTTGACAATGCTCAGGATTTTAGTGTCATCAGCGTAGATCTTACAAATATTTTTTTTGCTTATTACATTCGGCAGATCATTGATGAAAATGACAAACAAAAATTAGACCCAAGACTGATCCTTGAGGAACCCCACTTGTCAAAGGTAACCAATTCAGGACTCATTGAGACCTGTTAAGTAGAAAAGCTTTTATCCAATTGAAAATACTACCTTCGATTCTGTACATTTTTAGTTTGTAAAGCATTCATTGATGTGGCACTTTGTCAAATGCTTTGGCAAAATCCAAAAACATGACATCAACTGGTAGTTTTCTGGCTATATTTACGGTCAATAAGTTCATTTTCAAGAGGTTTGTAATGCATTATTTTTTCTCTAAAAAGTCATGTTGACTATTTAATAAAAGAGTGTTTAATTTTAGATGCTGCATGATTGCCTTCTTAACTAATTACTCCATTATCTTACATGGAATCAGGATGAGAGATATTCGTCTGTAGTTTAATGAGTCGATTCTGGAGCCCTTCTTAAATAAAGGTGTTACATTTGCTTTGGACCATGAGTTTAGAATTTCACCATTGTCAAATGACTTTTGAAAGGTGAGATTAAGTGGAGTAGACATTGAAGTAGAACAAAAGCATAAAACGCAAGGACTGACCTTGTCTACACCAAGTGATTTAGATATATCTAGTGATGAGAGTTCCATTAGAGTGGCCTGAGTGTCAAAAGTTATGTTGTTGAGGATTGTGTTAGTTCTACAATCAAAATGGGGAAGAATGCTCTTTGCTAACAATTGCTTGAAATTGATTGTTAAGTGAGTTAGCTATTTTAATTTTGTCAGAGGTAATGATTTCATTGGAACTGGTGATTCGCATAGATGAGATCTAAAATATTTAGAGCATTTACTATTTATGTATGAAAATAGTCTTTTAGGGTTGCGCTTATAATTTGCAAGAGCATATTTGAAAGTTATCAGAAAAAAACGAAACTATCAAGTTTCTCTATATTCCTTAACCAGAGATGCCATTTTCTATTTTGATGTGATGTTACAAGCCCATATATATATATTTATATATATATATATATATATATATATATATAAAATACATATATATATATATACATATATATATATATATATATATATATATATTATATATATATATATATATATATATATATATATATATATATATATATATATATATATATATTCGAAATTATATGAATCAGGAAAGCAAAATGAAGAAAACGAATTCCGAAGAACTAATGTTCGAGGAAAAAAACTAGAGGAATAAGAGTTTTTGGAAGACTTAGGAACTGTCACAGAAAAAGGATGAGACTTAACTGAATGACGAGTAATACGAAAATGAATTTTGCTAGATAGTAAGCTAGCTCTATTGAGCAGTGCCCATTACAGTATTTGTAGAAGAAAGAAGCAACATTACGACGATGTGATGTTGGTTGGAGGTTGGCTGCAAGAGCATGTCCAACTTTGTTAACAATGCCTTTTTGCACCTTAATATGCATATTCTGTCCCAGATATGGCAAAAGTATTCCATACAAGGCCCGATATGAATTTATAGAGATAAAGAATAGAATCTGGAGTAAAAAAGTGTTATGATCAATAAAGAGATGCAACCTTAGCAGATGCTGATTTTGCAACAAATTTGATACATGGTTTCCAAGAAAGATTGGAAGTAAGAGCTGATCCTAGAAGATGAAGGGTAGATGACTCATCGACAACATTACTGTTCATAAATATAGTAATATCTAAATTATTGCGACAATGACTGGCTGAAAAAAATTAAGTTTTATCTGAATTTTACTAGCCACTGTTAGCCCCATGCTGTAGCAGAAGGAGGGGGCATTGAGCCTTTCATGCTCAATGCCCCCTCCAAGCAGTTAGAGAGTGTTGGCTTCTGATCATGGCAAGAATAAATAGTAGTATCATCAGCGAACAATGCCACCTTGTGAGAATATCTAAAATATCATTAATGTAAATTAAAAAGAGTATAGGGCCAAGGATTGAACCTTAAGGAACACCTGAGGTTACAGAAAAAGGAGATGAGTGCTGTCCATCGAGGACAACTTTTATACTATGATTGGAAGGGAAGGATTCAATAATCTTGAATATGTTACCAGATACACTGTAAAAAGAAAACTTATAGAGAAGACCAGCATGTCAAACTTTATCAAAGGCTTTAGAAATGTCAAGAGCAATGGCCTTAACCTCTTTACCTTTATCTAATGCACAATAAAACCAATCGGTTGTTACTCTTAACAAATCAGCTGTAGAACAAGAAAGGCTTGAAAACAAGACTCTGATATGCTCTTGTTGAATAGTTTTGAAAGCATATACGACAGCTCCAGAGAACACTTCTGCAAGACTATAACAGATATGTTGTCCGGGCCACATGCTATAAAAGAGTCTAAGAAATCACTTTAGATACAGAAGCTGGAGTGATACGAATGTCAAGCAATGGATCAACCTGTTTGACTTCTATATCAGGTAGAACGCAACTAATGGAATCAAGTAATAATATTGATGAAAATTTCTTAGCAAACAATTCAGCTTTGTCTTTAGGTGAGGTGACAAAGTCTGAACCATACAAGAGAGGTGGAATAACAGATTTGCGCTTATTATAGATAATAATAAAGATTCTCCAGAAGTCACAGTAGCCCAATTTTTGTGATGAAATACGAGATTTCATGACCTGAGAATAGCGGGCTTTGACATTAGAGAAAACCTTTTTACAATAATTTCTAGCAGTAATAAACAGACATCTGTTTTCTGGAGAATTGTTTCGTTGATAGATATGGATGTAACGGATTCGATTGGCAATTGCAGCAGCACAATGTGAGGAAAACCATGGAGAAGAGTGAGACCTTACCTGGAATCGTCAAGAGGGAATAAAAGATTCCATGTAAGCCTGAATCCACAAAGTTATGTAAGAAGCACATTTGTCAGCAGGAAGATAAAAGATTTCTACCCAAGGGTTATCACGAAGAAAATCACGGAAAGAGTCCCAGTCAGCTTTAAGGTAGTTGTACAATGATAGGGGGATTCAGATGATGAAGAATGAGATAATATTTTTAGAGAGATCAAACTGTGATCAGAAGCACCTAAGGGTAAATGTGGAGAAACTGAACACTGACTAGGATCAGAAACAAGACATAAGTTGAATAGTGAAGGTAAACGATTTTAGTTGTCTGGAAAGCAAGTTGGATAGTTGATAATTTGAGTTAGGGATTGAGAACGGTAAAAGTTGAGGGATTTAATGCCAGCAGAGTCACAGACACTATAGGTCAATTTAATCAAGAATAACATCAAACAGAGTGAAGTCTTGAGATAAAGGTGAGCAATATAGAACAAAGAGAAAGACGATAG